TCTCATAATTTTGGCATAAGCTCTAAAAATGTTTACCCTTGATCTGGTCTAATCCTAAATTTAACTCTAAAATCAGCATAATGCAGGCCGATGTCGATCAATCTCGGCCAAAATAATCGACAAATATGGAACAGAATTCTTTAGTGTTTCGTTAAATTGATATTGGAATCGATGTCATTAGATTAGAATTTTCAGGTTCCGTAAACCCGTCTTGAAGTGAAATATTCGAAAATCAAGAATTCCTGTTTTCCCTTTGCGGCACTCATTTATTAAATAATTAACTAATTGTTTTCTATATATTGTACGTAGATTGACATTGATTATCCCTTTAAACTTCCGTGCAATCCTTCAACAGGATTCAATGAAGCTGATTTTTCAAATTTCATAAATGCCATATCAGTAAAATTAGGTAATAATAATAAGACTTTAACAATTACGGCAGGCCAATATTCTATAAAGGGCATCAACCCAAATATCATTAGTTTTATAAATATTCAGGCAAGATTTAGCTTTTTTTCTTTGTATAATAAATGGCATTATAAATATTTATTTATCCATTTATAAAATTTTAGACATTTCATCTTAATATAAATAACACTTATGCAAGTGCTGGAATAGACAGAATCTCGCAAATTTTAAAAGAATGGAGTTTTATAGATCCTTCAAAACTCGTTTTAGGCGTTGAATTCGGAGGCGTTGTCGAAGTTGTTTCTTCTAATAATATTAAATCAGACATCGAGAGTCAACATCTTCAACCAATAAATGACTCAAATTTTAAGTTCCCTTTTGCTAATGAACAGATTTCAGATCAATGTGGATATTCATCATATGCATATTGGTCATGGGAAAGTTTAAGTAGTTTATTATCTACATCATCTTGTCCTACGAATTTAATATCATCGTCACAATGGACCTATGGTTTTATTAGCAATGCGAAACAACCATATCTTTACCAACAACAAAACTCTTCAAACTACTATGTCGTTTTCTATGAAGATTATCAATCGTTAAATGCCAAACTTGACTATATAAAAAATAATAATTTAACAGGAATTGCGATTGCAGACATCACCAAAGATTCACAATTGACAAATTTTATTTTGGGAAATCAGTCGGGAAAAAGTGGAATTCCAGGTTCCCCTCCACCTTCATCCACACCCACATCATCTACATCTCAGTCATCTCCATCTAATGTAGGGGCAATAGTAGGTGGTGTAATATGCTCCTTTATTTTTGTTAGCGCATTAGTGGCGGCTGGTTTTATATTATATCGAAGAAAACATAAAAATGTTATAACAACTGTCGTGGCAATGTTTGATTTCGTGGGAAAAGAAGAAAATGATTTGAGTTTTAAAGCAGGAGACATAATTGAAGTACTTGAGAAAGGAGATGGGCCTAATGATTGGTGGGTGGGTAGATTACGTGGTGTAGTAGGTGAATTTCCTGGTAAGTGATTTATCTGTTGGATTATTCTTTACACTGTTAAGAAATATCTGTCTTTTGAGATCAAGTAAACATAAAAAAATATATATATGTCAAGTGATTGATAAATAACTCTATCATTTTGGTTTTTGCTTTTTAGGTAACTACGTAAGAGAAGTCAAGACGTAATTTTTATTGATGGCAAAAATTTTTTAAAGTAGAAATATTTGTTATATTTTCAGAAATATTCATCTATTATAAATGTTATACATTATTCCACGGGTCTTATGTAACAACCCGTGCTTTTTTCACTTGGTTATTGCACGGGATTGTACGTCAGACACCGTGAAATAATATAGTTATTGTATGGGTATATGAATAACGGCCACGGTTATTCACTACATACCCATACAATAACAAGTATGTATCTAATGTCACGGCTGATTATGAAATCGGATTATTGTGAAATTTGGATCTATTTCATGTACGATTTTTAAATTTTTTTG